TACATAACATTTTTTGTTCAATTTGTTTGGTATAAATATATAATCCGAGTTGTAGATGAATTACCATAAAACAAGATGGCAAATACTCAGACTTGATAGAAGTTATATCATGAACTTGAACACCAGCCTAAATAAATTCGAGTTCGAGTGTAAAATCTGGTATGTGTCAAAATATCATTTTTAATAAAACCAAGTTTACATTTTAGTTTAAATTACCAAAACAGTAACAACTAATTACAATATTATACCTAAACAATCAATGCACAAAGATGGATATTTTTTAACGTGAGTTTTGATGATTTTTGTAGATATAGCCTGTACCTACTTACCACATTTTACACTAAGATAGTAGTTCCAGTGTTTAAGTTAAACAATGGTAGTACCTACATATCGCAATGAAAACACACCTAAAAGAATAAATAGGCATGTGTATTAAAAATAATATTTTCTTCTACAAGGAACTGTAATAAGAACGCGAAAAATGCAATTATCATTATATCACTTTTGGCTTCAAATGTTTGTAAAACGAGTGATATTGTATTGATTTTTTAAATTCTCACTTAAGGAGCTTCAAAAGAAATAGGTCGATCTATCTTTTTCAATGAAACAGGTGTAACTGGATCATGGTAAGTATGAAGCCATGAAGCATATAAAACTGATAGATTGTCTGCAGAAAACTCCATTCTTACTAAATTTCTGATACTGAGTGTTGTTGCAGTTGATTGTTGAAAATATTCGTGCAACCTGTTGATTTATTGAAAATCCTGTGCCATCTTATAAACCTGGAATGCTGGTTTGTTCTGTGCCTTCTTCAGAACTTTCTTCCAACTTATATATATATATATATATATATATATATATATATATATATATATATATATATATATATATATATATATATATAGTTCAGCTCAACAGGCCTCAAAGGCCCAAGGCTTCAACGGTTTTCTTCCATTTCTTTCTATCTTGTGCTAAGTTTTTTCCAATCTTGTACCCGCAGCGACTTTTGCCGACTCCAGCCATTTTCTTCGGGGGCGGCCTCTTTTTTTTGTACCAGCCTCCGTGTTTATTAATTCATTGGGAACTCTTCCTTCCTTTATTCTTGCTATATGTCCGAGCCATCTTAATCTTTGAATTTTAGCGAGTCTTATTTTTGGTTGCCCATATTGGATCATAAATAATCTGACAATGGGCCCTTACGTACTTCTTTACCGTGACGAAATCTCTATCAGACGGTATTATTAGGGTGCCTGTCCGGGTATTATAGTTACAGAATACACTTTCTCTTTCATAATCCTTCAAAAGCGAAAGTCCATGGGGTTAAGACCTGGACTTCTGGGTGGCCAAGAAATAGGTGCGTCACGATCCCTTCCAATCCACCGACCAGGATACTGCCTGTACTCTTGTAAATCGTTTGCCAAGAACTGTAAATAATTATCAACATTTATACTGGGCCTATTAGATTGTTATCCACAATTCCTGCCCAAACATTAGCTTTGAAAGTCCTTTGGTGATGAGTCTTTTTTTGGCGTGAGGATTTTCGTCGGCGCAAATGTGCTCGTTATGATGGTTTGTTATTCCACTTCTACTGAAGGTAGCCTCGTTGTAAAAAAAATATTTTTCGAGTGTTTTTCATTAACAACCAATCACAAAATCCAATCCTTTTAGGATAATCTTCAACCAATAACTCTTAAACCGTTGTTAAATAATAGGGTTAAGCAGCTGATCTGTCAAACGCCTTCAAACCGTTACGTGAGGAACATTTAGTTGAGCAGCTATTACCCTTGTACTTGTTCCAGGGACTTCTTCAATCATTTCTAAAATGTCTTCATCAGTTGCATCCATTATTGGACGACCACTATTGCCTGCAACTTACGGTTGGAATGTACCCGTTTCTTGTAAACGACGATCAATGGTCAGAAATAATCGTCTATCGGATGTCGATTGGGGTATTTTACTGCATAACGCCTTGCGGCTACTGTACTATTTCCTTGACATTCACCTACGATATTCCCGATAGTTTATTGAAATCATAATTTAATCTGATCCAACTTACCCAAAGTTAAATGTATATCTGCCATTTCCTGAAATGCGTAGGCCATTGTAATATCAAAATTTTTAATATTAATCTTATTCACACAATAAATGATCTTTAAATTATTGACTATTATTGATGGAACTGTTTGTAATTATTGTATCCATAGAAACTAATTGTAATGTTAGGGCCTACTAGGAAAAATTCATTAAAAAAAATTCAAAATTCATTTGATTTGAACGTACTCAAAAGTTTAGGTGCACACCCCACTTAAAGTTGTTGTGTGCACTTAGATTTTGTTGTTTCTTTTATATAAAAAATGTTTTCAGAACAAGAAAGTAACGTGTTCATTTTTATTACAAAATGTCAAGTACAAGTTTATGAGATAATGCAAAAAAACAATTTTTATTTTGTAACTTCAAAGGGCTGTAACTTTTTTTGTGTACACTTTTCTACTAAGGTAAGTTGAATTTAATCAATTTATTTTTGTCCCCGGAACGCGTGTTTTAATTTATGACATACCTTTTTGAAAGACCCTGTATAGAAGAGGTATTGAAAAACTAAATAACATAAAATGATGTACATAAGTAATACATTTGGACCTTAATTAAATGTTCTCGAAATTAAAAAAAACAAAAAATATTCTTTCATTTCATAAGTTACTTAGCAATAGTATTTTTTTCTTTCAGTTATTGTATAAGAGCAAAGATATATGAGAGACCTACAAATTATTTATCTCAGGTACACAATAAAGTCGCCTTTTATTAATGGGCCAAGGCGGTGAAATTAAACAACTTTTTCTGAATCATATTAAATAATATCATCTGTCTCTATCCATCTGCAATAATTTCCTATTTTTTCCATAACTTTATTTTGAATTTATCTTCTGTTTAGTGAAGTACTTATAGACATAGTAAAAAATCCCACTGCTGGCAATGCTTATATACAACTAAAAGCTCGACTTCTAGACAGATATGACACCAGCTCAGATGAAAAGATCCACAAGTTGATGGGACTCACTCTGGGTGACTTAAAACCATCGAGCAAAAAGACAAAAGAGGGAATGTAATGGTAGTGGGGGCAAACATATTGTTAGACAGGAAGTGCGATCTTTAGAGGCCACATTAAACAAGGAAAGAGAGTCTCACTCCTTGTTTGACATCAAATTTAGTTGGGTAATGTTATTGTTTGTCATAAATGTCACATGAAATATTATTTCTATTGAAGTTTTTTAACAATTGTGTCGCATTTTAGACTATTATCGATAATAAATAATTAAAACTTTCTCGTCTAAGACACATTTTGAAACATATTATATAGCTACTGTTGATAAAAGTGTCAGAAAATTTAAATTTGGCGCATTCGCATTTCCGGATATGTCCGCCATCAGAGGCCACTTTTTTGGTCTCCTTTTCATAAGGATTAGATTCCCTCTTTTGTCTTTTTGCTCGATGCTTAAAACCCACTCAACTACTCCATCGAATGCAAGCCTTGGCCATGGATAGCATTAGTACGCAAGTTCTCAAAAAATTTTGATTGGACCGACTGGAGGTAGGCAATTTGAGAGCCAGTTGTTTCGCCAGCTCAATGGATTACTAGGTGTACAACATATTAAAACCACTGCCTACCACCCACAATCAAACGGATGTATTGAACGTTTCCACCGAACGCTCAAGGCTGCTGTCATCGCCGCGGACACAGTATCGTGGGTTGAAGCCCTCCCTCTGGTCATGCCAAGCCTTTGAAACACTTTCAAATAAGACATTGCTTGTACAGCCTCCGAGTTAGTGTATGGTACCTCAGTGAGTGTCCCTGGACAGCTGCTTGTCCCTAGTGCTGCTACACCCGACGAGCATAGTTTTGTCCAACAACTACGTGAGACCATGGGAGCTTTGCGTCCTGTACCGACGAGCAACCACTCAGCCCGTACTGCCATTGTTCATCCGGATCTACAGACTGCGAGTCATGTGTTTGTATGGACCGATAAAGTGAAGCTTCCTCTTACTCCTCCCTATACTGGCCCGTTTAGAGTGTTAGAACGAAGTGATAAGTTTTTAACTGTGGATGTCTAAAATGTTCCTCAGCGAATTTCCATGGACCGACTCAAACCAGCATGTATTCCAGCGGCCCAACAGGTGCAGGAAGAATATGCATATGCCAACCGTCTGATGAGCAACACAGGTCAATATAGCCGTTCGAAACCAGCAGGTTCCTCACTGGAGGGGAGCCCTGTGGCAGATTGACAGTTAACCTCCAGCCACACATGGGTTGACTGTGCTACCGAAGTGAGGGAACGTCGACGGAGAAAAGAAGAGGAGATCAGAGCCAGCTGATGTCTGTCAGAATACGATCACAGATCACATCCACATCACACTCACATCACACTACGAGGCAACAACGAAAAGAACTCTTACAGTTTTCTTACTTGTTTTTAGTATGTAGTTTATTGTTAATAAATCAATAAAACAGTTTAAAGTGTGCCCACACTACCTTGCTTCCCGCAAACAGGCCACATCTTTGACTTTTAAAAAATATTGCAAGGTTTGTCCCCTTTTTGTCTCCTTGGAGTTTTTTTCGATTTCTTGCTCTTTTGAGAGCTAGAGAAACAACATGACTGTTTATAAATATCTTTTTTCCCCAGGTAATTTTCCAAATTGCTTCAAATATCTGAGGTCTGTCTTATTCTCTAAAAGACAGATATTTTATAGCACCTGTTTCTTTTTTGCATTAACATCTCGGTTTCAGTCATAGCACGAGGTTCCCTTGGTTCGTCATAGTTCCGTTTTCCTTCTCGTTTCTGTTTCCCGTAATCGTTTATTTTTTTGTATTCAAGCCAACCTAACTCGATGGTTGTTCCAACTCGATGAAGCCAACTGACTAGAAGAAGACGAAGATTGTTTACATGACGATTGACATATGTCAGTTACGTTTGCGTTTTGCGTACACGTACTTTATTTGACGTTCCACTTCAAATTAGACTTATAGGGATCAGCATTGTTTCTGCAGCTGTTTTTATTCCATATTTAATAATTAATACAGATCTTTAAGTATGTCACCAAAAGAAAAAGATGATGAAGTAGTAAGTTAGCTCGGTTAATTATCTGAATAAATTATATACTCTATATGTTTCTGTAGGTATCAATAAATAAATGGGATGGAGTAGCCGTCAAAAATGCATTAGACGATGCAGTTAAAGAGGCAAGTTATCAATGAAATTAAACTCTTTGTTTGTTAATATTGTTTTATTCTGTAGGTACTTACAAAGAAATACAATTATGCTGAAAATTTTGCTCTCATGGATGGTAGGTTAGTTATATGTGGTATAGCTGTAGGAGTTGCAATGTTTGCCTTGATTTGGGATTATTTGTACCCATTCCCACAATCTAAGTGAGTATTAAATTTCAAATATCACTATTCTACTTTAGGTACTACTTTATTATATAATTAACTCATTAAGGCCCAAATTATTATTTTTTTTTTATTTCAAAATTATTCTTATACATAATTATCAGTAATCTTGCTTTTAATAAGGAAATATTCATGAAATTAATTTAATTGAGATGCAAGCATTTTGGGAAGATCCATTTTAGCCATCTCTTAACAAAATATAGGTAAGATTTTTTTGTGTGTATGAATAGCTAGCTTAGCATTCTTCAGAAAAAGACTAATTCAGTATTTGTTTTAGTATCATAGGGCATGAAACTTCTGTCTTTCATTAGTCTAAAAGGAAACAGTTAAGTTCTTTTTTCTCTATTAATCTATTCCACTGCTCTGTTGTTTTGACTCATTCACACTAGTCTCTTCCCTTTTTTGATTTAAGAGAAATCTTGGTCATTGAGTAAATATGAGTGGTCTCTTACAGAAAACATGTTTTGTTGTCAAATACTAGGATACCCATTGCTTTTATGATAAAAGCCGCGTTCTAAAAAAAAAAAGATGGACATAGAATAGAAGTCTCAACTGATATAGTCTATGTCCAAAATTGGACATAGAATATACTTACATGGAAGTACATAGGCTAGTTCTGATTAATCCATAATATTAATAATCTAATCATGTTGTAGGTATAGGTATAAATTATCAATAACAGTGTACTTACTCATATATCGTATATTGTCGGCTTTAAGGTTAAACAAACCAGTTTCTGAAATTATTAACAACTGGGCCGTGTTTTTTTAAAAAAGAGGCAGAAAATATTATTACTACTTAAAAAATCGAACAGATGGAACATAAAACAAATAAATTTAACTTAAAATTATGAACTGAAATTAAAACAATTATGAATATTTAAACATGCTTTTCTGAATCTTCCCCTGTTCTCTTTTCGTCATAAGGTAGGTTTTTAAAAAAGTCATGATATTGACATGATATAACTGTTTTGTGGCAAAGAAATTGCAAATGGTCGTATTTCTTTTTGGTTAATGGAATTTGCCTCGTATAGTTTGGTTTCAGTTCAATATCTTCTATATTAATTTGAAGTGTCTTTCTACCCTTTTTGGTCCAGATTATTATTTTTTAATTCAATGTCTTTCAAATTGTATTTAAAAAACACATATTTGGATAGTCTGGCCGGGTTTGTAGAATTCTAATTTGTTCCAGTGAACTTTCTTATTAGATTCATCCTTGTCCCAATTCATGGATGTTTGTCCTAGAAGTTCTTTTAAATCAAATATATTTTCTTGGTCTAATTCAACGACGTTATACGGGTTGTTCCTCTTTGCATTTCTGGCAATTGTGTACCATTGATGAGGAGAATAGACTGGAATATTACGTAATGCTCTTTCAATTACACTATTCTCCCTCATTTTGTGTGTGTGCCCTTGTTCCAGAATGCTATGGCAAATTGTTACCTTATATAATTGAGAAATGTAATGGTATAATGAAAATAAGTATTTATTTCTATTTTGTCTGGCACAATTGTCAGACAAAAGTGAAAACTTATTCGTACCTTGTACAATATTACTCTTTATAAAATTCAAAAGGCAACTACCTATTTTACAAGAGCCTCTCTTGCCTTTGGTTTTCTTACCACATATAATAATTGCATTCCTTATGTCCCAGATTGAAAATAGTAAAGTTATAAGTTGATAATTTTAGCTTATAATATGTTAATCAAACTTCCCACTTTGATACCTGAAGTAGTTGTTGTAAATCTAAAACTGCACAACAAATCTGTTGATTCTCCTCAGCTCTTTTTTTTCTGCATCCTTAAATTCCCTGGCTAAATTCTTGATTTTCAAGTGCAGTTGATACATTTCTTCAGCTGCTAATTTATCTTCACTAGACGATTATTCGAATCCATGACAAATATCGCACAAGTCTTTCCTTTGGCTGAAAGAATGACATATTAAAATCTGAATTAAATCCAGCTCTGTATGTACTTCCCGTTGCTACTTCAGTAATGTTCCTATCGGAACAATATTCCTTATATAAATAATACGTTCTGGAAATGTTAGGAGATGCAGGTAAATACAAACGTGTTGTGTTTTTTCTGCAATAGTGACTTTCAATTGTCTGAAAGGAATTTAAATATTCTCGAACGGATTCTTTGACAGATTCGTTGAGTAAGGAGTTTTTGCAGCCTTTCCTCTTTCCTGTCTTCGGAAATCGTACCAGTGGAACAAGTTTTATTAAGTACAGTTTTAAAAACCTAGGTACTTATAAAAAAAGTATCTAAAAAGAAAATCTTACACACAGGTACTTTGATGTTGCCCTTTATAAAAGAATAATCAAACGTGAATGTTCTACTCTGTTGGTTTGGAGAAGGCGATTCTTCATTTTTCTCTAGAGCAATATTTATATTCCTTCTTTATATTTCTTTTAATTTTTGTTCTTTCTTTATTTTTTCTTTGCGCTAATTTTGAAACGAAATCTCGTTGTCTGTTGACGTCTCCAAGATTCCAGTGACGATCAAATATAGATTGCCTTATTTTTCCAAGAGTTGTATTCCTTTCCGCTATTTCGAGATGTCTTTATTATATTTCTTCTCCAGGAAATCGGGTTTCTTTGCCTTTATGATTGCGTGATTGCCTTATTGAGACTTCTTGATCAGGTTCCTGATCCAATAAAACAACTTTGGGTTCATTTTCCTCGTTATCGGAGCTATTTTAAATCGCGAATAAGCCTATGTCCTCAATATCTATACGTAAATTTATGCAGAACTAGTCTATCTTCACGGTAAACTCATGCAGAACTAGTCTATGTCCGGCTAAGCGACGGAGATACTATCGGTTCACTGCGGTGCTCTTACATATACTGATTCTGCATGAAAACTAACAACGGTACTGAACATAGGCTAGTTTGAGGTTTGATCGATATGAACACTAGTTGTAAAGATGGACATACAATACTTCTGCATCCAATGTAATGATGCTTTTACTTTTAAATGGACCTTAAATATCAAATTAGGCAAAAATGGACATAGGCTACTTCTACATCCAAGCGACGATATGTACATCATATAACTAATGACGCAGTAATGTAACGTTTACACAAAGAACCTGAAGTCTTGAAATCCATTAAAGAGAGAAAGTTAGCATACTTCGGACATATAGTGAGAAATGAAAATAAATACAGAATCATACTATTGATAATAGAAGGAAATAGAGGACCAGGACGCTGTGGAATATCCTGGCTTAAGAATTTGAGATAGTGGACAGATATGACCACCACAGACCTATTTCGAACAGCTGCTAATAAAATTCAATGGGGCATTGTGGTAGCCAACATCCATAGAGGATAGGCACTAGCAGAAGAGGGATCTTAGATAATTATACTTTAAGATGTTTGGGTTATGTGTATTAGATTGAGCCACCAAAAAAATCATAAAGTTGCTGTGAAATTACTATTTGAATGATGCTGGTTAGCAATTCAGTCATTTCATAAATCAGAAATACCTAACATTTATGAGTTGTCAATGTAGGTTTTTATAAACATAATGTAGTATTAAAAATGTTACTAAGAAAATTGTAGAAATAGGTTATATATATATGAAGTGGCCCATAATCCTGACATATGTTTTTATTGTACAATCTACTCTAATTATTATTATACTCGATTCAATTATAGCTTTTCATAAGGTTAAAAATATTTAAGTTTATCTTTAAATAATTATATTCTTTATTTATAATAATGTATTTTCTCTTTTTTTTTTGCAGGCCTATTTTAATATTTTCTGTAACTACATATTTTTTTATGATGGGAGTTTTAACTTTGTATACTACATACAAAGAGAAAGGAATCTTCGCTGTTTGTATTCAGAAAGATAGTTCTAAGAAGGAAAACATTTGGGAAGCTAGCTCATATATTCAAAAGTAAGTAACCTAATCCTATCTCTTAACATTAAAAGGTGTACAATATAGTTTATTAGATTCACTATCAGATGTTGTATATCATCTTCAATAATTTTTGTAATTTTACACTCGATTATAATTAAATATTAAATCCAATATTAAATAAAATATTATTATTAAAAACAATTTTTTACTTGGCAATGTAATTATTCTTGTACAATATCTATTACTCTTATAACCATCAATTTATAATATCTTCTTCTGGTGTACTCCATTACTGGAGGTTTGCGATAACTACATCAAAATGTTATCTATTCTATGCCACTCTTTGTAATAGTTGAATGTTCATGCCCGCCTAAGTTCTGATATTACAAAGCTATGACATGGCTCTTCTGCCTACTCCCTTTGACCTTCTATCATCCCTTCAATTATTAATTGTAGCAGGTTATTTTATTATTATTATTTTCTGTATGAATATATTTACAATAGCCATTTTTGGTACTATGCAAACTGAACCAGTCTTTCTTCCCTTTTATTTGTCTCACTGACTTCACTCTTTCTCTTCCCACTTTGACATTAAAATTCCCAATTAGCCACTCTGTCCGAGATACTAGTTATTTTGACTACTCTTTGTTCCCATTTCTGATTGATTAGAACTCCAATACCGCTTGTTTTGCCCGTTGATGTTCCTCGTTAGTAGAATATGTTTCCTGTATCTTTTCGTCTTACTTCACTGATTTTATTACGTCACACTTTATATTCTCAATTTCTTTTTCCAGTTCTACAAATCTGGATTGGTTTGATACCGATCAGCAATTATATGTTGCTATATAAAGTGTTGTTATTTTATTTGGGTATCAGTTTACACTCTGCAGATTATTAGCAATCTCTGACCTCTTGACTTGATCCTGAAGGCCACCCAACTCAGGGCCATTTGGGACTATAAAGAATAAGGGTTATCATAAATAATTAACGTAAATCATTTTCAATATAAATATTCTACTGTAATGTGTGGTGCATTTCCAGGATTATGCCTCATCAAGTTCCAAATAATGATACCCTTCAGAGAGATCAAATACAGAGAATATTTCTTTACCCATCATTTTTGCACAAACATCTTCCAATTTATGTACTACTCTTGGTTTGCGGACTATTTGTTTACATCTGATGAGTCCAGGCATAAACGTAACTTACCATTTTGATTTTCCACAATAACAATGAGGTTTATGCTTGCTCTCAGGTCAATTTTGTTAACCTTTACAATTGCCCCTCTTTTTGCCAACCTATCTAATTCATCTCCTAAATTACCTCTAATTGCAACAGTTACATTTATAGGTGGGTAACTTACTGCTTCAAATTTGTCTACTGTGGCAATCCCATGTTTATTATAAAACTTACCATGACCCAGAAAACATCAGGGTTAAGGTTTATAAATTTGTTCCCTTCGGTTAATGATAAAGTACCACAACTCTTAACATTGTTGATTCGTTAAACTAATCCCAAATCAATACATAATTGACCACTTAAAAGAACTTTAGTTGCCCCATCAACAAAATGTGAAATTGTCATAAACATACAAAATGTTTTTTTCACAAAACTTGAAGAACTATCATCTCTTGATAATCTTATCATTACTGGAGATTTTAATTTCCCAGAGATCACCTGGCCAATAACTTCATTATCTGACGCCGAAAACGCTCATAATTTATTTAAAATCTTTGTAGTAAATTCAAACCTGATACAACTCATTACAGAACCTACTAGATTTAGGAATAATAACCAACCTTCTACTTTAGATCTAGTGCTTATTAATGACGAACAGCTGATTTCATCTCTCGAAGTCAGTTCTCCCATAGGAAAGTCAGATCATGCAGTTATAACGGCTCACATCCAGTTTAATCAAAAATTACCCCAAAAATAACATTGTAACATATGCTACTACCGACTTTTCTGAAGTTGACACTGAACTCTCTCAAATCGACTGGCATTTATTTTTTTGCAGACTTAAACGACCCCTCATTAATGTGGATTGCATTTCTCGATAAAGTCCACAATATAATTTCTACAAATACTAATTTCCGTAAGAGTTACAAAAAACAACCTCAAACCCTGGATAAATCGAACAGCAATTAAACAAATCAATCACAAACGACATCTATGGCGAAAATTTATACACACCGGGCTTCTTAGTGATTTCCAAAGCCACCGCAGATTTTCAAATAACTTAAAAACATCTCTAAAAACCCTAAGACAAAATTTTGAAGCAAACGTTATTGAAACTGGTAACATTAAAAAAGTCTATAAATACATACGTTCCTCCATGACATCTAAAGTTTCCATTCCGCTACTTCAAAAATCCAACCAGACTTTATGCTCTTTTGACAAAGAATCTTCCGAAACTCTCTCTTTAGCATTTTCACAGGTGTTTACTAAAGAATTAAATGATGGTTATCTACTTGCTGTTAACTGTAATCGTGTCGGCGCATCCTTACAGCAAGTTGAATTCACAGTGGATCATTTCAAACAACACTTAATTAAACTTCGCACGGCCGCTTCACCTGGTTTAGATGGTTTAACACCAAAACTGTTAAAAAGGTGCGCAGACACGCTTGCAATACCCTTAACGTTAATTATGCAAACCTCTTTCATCCAAAACTCCTTACCCCCTAGTTGGAAATTAGCTTCCGTTACTCCTATTTTTAAAAAAGGCAACAAACTCGACCCCAACAATTATCGTCCGATTAGCTTGCTGCCAGTAGTTGCGAAAGTTATGGAAGCCATTATTTCCGAGGAGATAACCAAATTCCTTCTCCAGGAACATGTTATTCCAACACAACAACATGGATTTGTCTCTGGTCGCTCTACTCTAACCAATCTCCTACACTGTGTTAACGACTGGACCTCATCCCTTAACAGTTCGCAGCCGGTCGACGTTGTTTATCTAGATTTTTCTAAAGCCTTTGACCGTGTACCTAAGCGCAGACTTCTACATAAGCTAGAACATTTCGGAGTTCGCGGTACTTTACTTCGTTGGATAGATGATTTCCTGACAGATCGATATTACAAAGTTAGAGTTGGCGAATCTTTCTCACAGGACAGGTTAGTGGAAAGTGGAGTGCCTCAGGGTTTTGTCCTTGGACCTCTGCTTTTTACGGTTTACACCAGCGATATTCCTTATTATGTCTCAAGTAAAATATCTGACGACACAAAAATATATGCCAATCCAAACACAAACCAGCTAACCCTCCAAATGGACTTGGACTCTATTTTAACTTGGTGTTCCCAGTGGTTACTACCCTTAAACGCGGAAAAATGTGTAGTGCTTCGAATTGGCAAAAATAACCCACTTGTGCCGTACTTTGTTAACGGGCAGCCTTTAGAATATGTGTTTTCGTATAACGATCTTGGTGTTATTGTGAACAGCAGCCTAACTTGGTCCGATCATATTACCTCTATTTGTAAACGTGCAAACTCCAGACTGTATCTTATTCGGAGGTGTTTTTCGGGAGTTTCAATGCAATTATTTTGCAAACTTTACACTTTGTACGTAAGACCCATACTTGAATACGCTGGACCAACGTGGTATCCCGATCTCGTTCGAGACAAGACTCTGTTGGAAAACGTTCAAAGAAAAGCCACTCGAATTTCTTTGGGATCGAGAAGACTGTCTTATGCAGAAAGACTTAGTATGGCTAACCTAACTACGTTTGAACTTCGCCGACAACGTGGAGACTTAATTACAACATTCAAAATACTAAAATTCAATTTTGGAAACCTCGATGAAATATTTATCATAAACCAAGATGAACGCCTCAGAGGTCATCAATATAAACTAAAGAAAGAAAATTTTTCTATAAGACAAAGACAGAACTTTCTTCCAAATAGAGTTTTTGAGTGCTGGAATAACCTCAACGACAACATTGTCTCCGCTTCCTCTACCAACTCGTTCAAAAACAGACTCGACAATTTTACATTATAGTTAAAATATTGTTTTTCTTTTAAACCAAAAATTGTAATTTTATTTCTTGTAGTTGTAATTTTTGTTATTTACTAGTAGGTGATTAATGAAATTTCTTTGTTTTTGGGCATAATAGGGACTTAGTTCCTCTGCCCTCGCTTATATTATAATAATAATACTTATTTTTTTAAACTGTGTATAAATTTTCTTAAAAACTTTAATAGAATAGAATTATACTTACATCTGCACCTGTGTCAAGTTTTACTTTAATTCTTTTATTTTCAATTTCTATAATTTCATCCCAAATATGTTGACAACTTACATCTTATATTATATTATATAAGTAAGGTATACTATTCTCATTAGCTGCACCCAGCGTGAACCTAACTTTAAAAAACTGGATAAGAACAGAATTGTAATTTTTCACATTGGTTTTAAAAATGTACACCTGTTTCTTGTATTTCATAATGTGTTGTGAGTGAAAATTAAAATAAGCTAGCAAACAATGCAAGAGCTTTTCGCGTTAATTTGATTCACACGATGGATGCGTAAAACGAAGTTGCGCCAATTTTTTTTCCTGGACCTCCCCGAACCTATTTTATAATTTGTCCGATCCACCCAAAATTAGTTGCCGTAGTAGGGTCTAGGACAATTCGCCGTCGCCAATTCGCCGTCGCCAATTCGCCGTCGCCGATTCACCGTCGCCCATTCACCGTAGGGACAATTCACCGTTAGCCGATTCGCCGTCGCCGATTCGCCGTCAGAATTTTAATTTTTAGAATGTTTATTTTTAACACTTGGTTATAAATAGAAGATTTTAGGCAATAAATTATTTTATAGTAAGTACCATTTAATGGTGTGTTGATGTTTAAATTTTTATTAGGAATAAAATATTTAACAAGAACTAGAAAACAATTAGGGTGGTTGATCTTGTAATGTTGGTTAAAATAGTTGTTGTTTATTTAATGACCATTAATAACCAGTGAATATTGATTCAAGGATTTAATTTTTTGTTTAAATTATTGTTGGAATAAAAAATGTTTAACAAGAATTAAAAAAAAAATAGGCAATAATTTTTTTTTAGTAAGTACCCATTTATTAAGGGTTGGTGTTTAACGAAAACTTAATTCATATAATTTTATGTTTAATTAAATATTTTTGCTAAGTAAATGAAACAAGTAATCCATTGGTTTATGTTTTGTTTTATTAAAAAATTAATTTCTACATTTCGTAGTTATGGGCTAAGCCTCTGAGATATTCTAAAATATTTTCTCTATTATAATTTTGTACTAAATGTAAAATTCTTTGGTCCGCCAGTTCTTGTAAAATATTTTATTCCTAATAAAAATAAAACACCAACTCAATAAACATCAATAAACAGGCACTTACCATAAAATAATGCATTGCCTAAAATCTTATTTTCATAACCAAATGTTATTAATAAACATGCTCAAAATTAAATTTCTGACGGCGAATCGGCGACGGCGAATCGGCTGCCGGTGAATTGTCCCTACGGTGAATGGGCGACGGTGAATCGGCGACGGCGAATTGGCGACGGCGAATTGTCCCATTCCCGCCGTAGTATAGTAGCCCCTGCTATAACATACAGTAGACTCCCTCTATAACGAGAACTAAAATTTCAGACTAATTACATCATTATAAGCCGATCTCGTTATATCAAACATTAATAATACTGTGCATACATATGAATAAGTAGTTTTCTAAAACATTAACTTCCTATAGTGAAGCCATTCGGAGCAATATAAGATGCTAATAAATATTGTTTGAATGGCGTTTTTGAAAACAAGTTGTTTACTTTTATTGTCAATTAAATACGTTAAAACAAAAAGGATTTGTTTACTTTTATTGTCAATTATATACGTTAAAATAAAAAATCTGTACTTACATTTTTTTTTTTCAACTACATAATGTATAAAGCGTATTTTGAAGGATAACATAAACTATTGCTTCTGCAATTGGAACAATTCTGTAGTTGGAGTAAAAAACAGGTTTTTCGATCATATTTTCTCTTGCTATAACTAAATTTGCCACGCTATAGATGGTTATAGTTCAATAGAAATTTCACGGGATATCTAATGTACTTCGTTATAAGCGAAACCTCATAATAACCGTGTTCGTTATAGAGTGAGTACACTGTATTAACAAAATCACTTAAATCGAAGTAATCAAGACATCAAAAATGTCCCAGTTTTAACACGGTGCATTACTTTTGCTGCTTAGTATATATATATATATATATATATATATATATATATATATATATATATATATATATATATATATATATATATATATATATATATATATAAATGAACTAGAAGTATTTGCTGACAACAAGGAAGTAAATTTTCAATATTGGGTTTGCAGCAATAAAAATGATACGTGTACTCTTTTAAATTTTTATTCCGAGCTTTCGGACATGGTTATGTCCTTCATCAGGGAGCTACAAATATGATGAATAGTTTGTTACAAGTTTGTATAATTAATTAAAGATTCGCTACTTACAAACTTAATGAGGTTGGATCATCAATGATTTTCTACCATGTCGATAAAACTTATCACAGTCTGTCATATTATTACATAAAACTTATTCCTATATTTAAAATTTTTAAAAATTGCTATACAATCACAAACACTTACTTATTATACACACATTTCTGACATTTTTATTCTTAATTTTATTATATCGTCATTAGTTTTTTCACAAGACAATTCAGTGGTTTTTATTATTAGATACTAGTACCAAATTATAGGCCTATCATTAGATGTATTGTGGCTATATAAATTATTTTATATTTATTAATATGTTTCAACACAAAATTTATTAAATTAACCTAAAGAAATAAGGTCATAATTCTTTAGGTTAATTTAATAAATTTTGTGTTGAAACATATTAATAAATATAAAATAATTTATATAGCCACAATACATCTAATGATAGGCCTATAATTTGGTACTAGTATCTAATAATAAAAACCACTGAATTGTCTTGTGAAAAAACTAATGACGATATAATAAAATTAAGAATAAAAATGTCAGAAATGTGTGTATAATAAGTAAGTGTTTGTGATTGTATAGCAATTTTTAAAAATTTTAAATATAGGAATAAGTTTTATGTAATAATATGACAGACTGTGATAAGTTTTATCGAAATTGGTAGAAAATCATTGATGATCCAACCTCATTAAGTTTGTAAGTAACGAATCTTTAATTAATTATACAAACTTGTAACAAACTATTCATCATATTTGTAGCTCCCTGATGAAGGACATAACCATGTCCGAAAGCTCGGAATAAAAATTTAAAAGAGTACACGTATCATTTTTATTGCTGCAAACCCAATATTGAAAATTTACTTATATATATATATATATATATATATTATATATATATATATATATTGTAAAAACTACGACCGTCAATTTATATTCATAAAGTATTCAACTAGTGAATTCAGAGGTTTATTCGGTCAGTCAGGTTGGCAAAATAAAAAACAGAAGTCAACTACTTCATAAGTTTATCGATAAACTTATGAAGTAGTTGACTTCTGTTTTTTATTTTGCCAACCTGACTGACCGAATAAACCTCTGAATTCACTAGTTGAATACTTTATGTATATATATATATATATATATATATATATATATATATATATATATATATATATATATATATATATATATATATATCTTTATTATATATTGTAATATTATTTTAGTGACACATCATATATTTTTTTTAGGTATGATGATAAATATAGTTTGAATCTTGCATATATTGATGGAAAAACACGCCAAAGAAGGGAGCATAATATTAAAAAGAGTATTGCCAAGTACATAGACCAGCAAGGAACTGTAGTTAAAGAAAATGTTGAAGATGAGATCACCAAAATGCACAATTCTCTACTAAGTGAGAGGAAAGAAAAATGATGTACACAGAAACTACCTACTAAAAGAAGTTGACGTGTACATTATTTTATATTTTATATTTTTCAAAATATTTTGTTCATTTAAGATTGGTTGTTTTATTTTGATTTATTCTGTATAAAATATACCCGCCTTAAATATATCTGGTTCTATCTATTATTTCAGAACCAGACTAACCTAACTCCTTTATTGCAACTTCCGAAGAAATGTTTTTTCAGAAGAAAAGGATTTATACAGTTTATTTGCAATCCTGAAAATATATTTTTTAACTTCATAACAGATATGTTAATCGTAACTTCATAACAGATATGTTAATCGGATTCTAAGATCAATAGTTTCTTATTAATCTTACCAATCTAAATACAAGTATGACAGGTAAGCTACAAATATTTTAAGCAAAAAAAAATACAGAAATTTGGATAAGGCTTAAAGGCAATATATTTTTAATTCAACTGCATCCTTAGAAGAGCCTATAGCTGCTCCAAGAGTCTTTGTCCTGTTGTAAACTCACCGTCAACAGAAATTATAAAAACAAAGACAAATAGGGAGAGCAGCGACAGTTCAGGATATTCCTCAAATGACGACGCAGAATGTTTGTTGCCGTATTCTATTATTAAGCGAAAGGAAGATAATACAGTCAACAGGAACAAAGAGTTAGCTTTATCAGACTTCTAAAGCTGCCGGTTTGACAAGTGTGTCTAATAGAGCTGCTGCAAAAATTTCAAATGCCGTTTTAAAAGATCTAAACTTAATTTCTAAAGATAAAACAGCGCACATTTTTTATAATTTTAATTCCTCCTGTGCTATCAATGGGGTCGTTATTTATAGTAGTAGTTTTTTAAGGTGTCAAATAGATTTTATTCGAATCTCGTCTGTTTAAATCACTTTCTAGCTTTCTCGGGTGTAGCTACTATTTTACCGAAGGCAAAATTAAACAGTTTGGCTATTTCATCTGGTGTAATTTTTTCACCTGGATGGTTTGTCAAATATTTTGTACACTCGTACGCCGACTTTAAGGAAAAGAAAAAGGTCACATCTAACAACTGAGTGCGATTAGAGGTATGTGGGGGAATGATTAAAATAATGATACCGTTTTCTTTACAAACACTATAGGCTCGGAAGGTGCAGTGGTTGATATATTTATCCGCAGTACAGGATCCACTGTGGATACTTTTACAAATGCCTTAAAATGTTGAAGCCATGCTAGAAATAGTTCTTCACTAATCCATCCATTGTCAGAGCATTTATACATTGCTCCAGGGAGTCCATGCTCCTTCAAATTTGATGGCATTCTTTTGCGAGCATAAACATAAGCGGTACATATATTTCCAAACTACTAAATTCACACATTACTGTGGTTGTCTTTCCTTTTTCTCAGCTTGTCACAAATCCAACTCTTTTCTGACCTTTCTTGCAGCAATCTCACATGGGCGCTGAACCGTGGTAATCCTCATTTCATCACAGTTGAAAATTGATATTTTTCCAAAAGACATCGTAAATTTTGGAAAAAATGATCACTTCATTACGATTAAACGCCGTTATGTAGCCTCAGGTATTCTTAGTACAATTTTATGACGAAACAAAACTAGCTAACCAGTCCTTTTCTTTATTAAAAGAGGTCTCTCTGTATTATTTGTTTTTTAGATTTGCTATAAAAGAGTATGTGACCAATTTCGTACCAGTCTCGGATAGAATAATATTACTCCAAATAAAATCTCAACCATTTAAAACTAACATACTTCAAATCTATGCCCCAACTGCAGATAGAAAATATGACGATAAAGTCGAGAAGTTGTATGATCAGATCCAAGACATCTTACAGAAACTTAATAAAGACGAAATTTTATATATTATAGGCGACTTCAATGCAAACATTGGGGAAGGTCAGACTGTAGGTCCTTATGGTTTAGGACAACCTAACGATCGAAGACATAGATTGTATGAATTCTGTAAAGAAAACGATATGATTACTGCAAACACCTGGTATAAACTACCCAAGGGACGACTATACACTTGGAAAGCCCCATTTGATGATGGCAATAACCCTGAGTCTTCAAGAAATCAAATAGACTATAAACTTGTAAATGAGCGTTTCAAAAATGCCGGCAAAAAAGTCACTACATATCCTGGGGCAGATATTGGATCTGATCATCAACCACTAGTAGCAGATATTAAACTAAGGTTAAAACGAATTCAGCGACAAAAACCAAAGTATTTAACTTTGACGATATAAACATAAAACATAACCTTAAAAAAGAATTTAACAATAGAATAAAAAACATCAAGGAACAACTAGAAGATCCAGAAGAACTATGGAGTGAGTTTAAAAACCAAGTTAACGAAATCTCCACAAACAATGATTATAGAAAAAACTTAATCAAGAAAAATAACTGGATGACAGACGACATCTTGAAATTAATGGAACAACGTCGACTGATAAAATCTAATGTAACAGAATATAGACACCTACAGAGAAGAATAAAAAAGGAGATCAAATTAGCCAAAGAAAAATGGATGAGAGAAAGGTGCGACGAAATGGAGGATGTAATATCTAAACACGACTTATTTAATGTGCACAAAAAATTGAAATAAATGAGTAATATATTTAAAAACCGAGTTCCCTCTGTACTTGTTGACACTAATAACAAAATTATTGTAAATGAGCAAGAAATAAGAAAAGAATGGCAGCTGTATATATCAGAGTTGTTTGAAGATGACAGGAATAATATTGTCGAATTCTACCAAAACTGTACTGATGGCCCAGAAATTATGAAATGCGAAGTAGAACATGCTATAAATAATGCAAAAATTAGAAAAGCCTGTGGTCCAGATGATACACCAACTGAGATGCTGAAACTAATAGAGAATGATAACATAAAAGTAGTAGTAAGACTTTTTAATTCAATGTATAACACCGGAGTGATTCCCGCAGATTGGCTCAAATCCATCTTTATCGCAATACCTAAAAAACATAATGCGAGAAAATGCTCAGAATATCGATTAATTAGCCTAATGAGCCACACTCTTAAAATTTTCCTCAGAATACTTCATAACAGAATTAGACGCAAATGCGAAGATCTTGAAGATACCCAATTTGGTTTTAGAAATGCCATGGGAACCAGGGAGGCACTTTTTGCGCTAAACATCCTATTACAAAAATGCCGTGACCAAAGAAAATATGTATTTGTGTTTCGTGGACTTCGAAAAGGCGTTCGATAAAGTACAGCATGTAAAATTAATGCAAATACTGAAAAATATCTGAATAGATGACAAGGATATTCGTGTCATTAAAAATTTGTACTGGAATCAAACTGCTATCGTAAAAATTGGAGATAACTACACCGATGAAATCCCCATAGAACGAGGAGTCAGACAAGGTTGCATATGGAATAAAAATCAACGGGGAACTACTTGATGTGATTAGATATGCAGACGATACAGTAATTCTATCAGATAATATTGAAGGTCTTCAAATTTTGCTTGATCGTATTCACGAGGTAGGAGAGGAAATGGGCATTAAAATGCAAAGCTTCAATTGAACGGAGTTCAAGTTGAGAAAGTTCACAAAATGACATATTTGGGAACTGTGATAACGGACCAACTAGATCCAGACATAGAAATAAAACGTAGAATAGCAATGACTAAAACTACTTTTATGAAAATGAAGTAATTTCTTTGCAATAACCATCTCAATTTAGAACTAAGCAAAGAATGGTTAAGTGTTATGTTTGGTCTGTACTTTTGTATAGTGTAGAAGTGTGGACGCTAAAAGTATCGATCATAAACAAAATTGAAGCATTGGAAATGTGGGTTCATAGACGAATGCTGAAGATACCTTGGACAGCAAGAAAAACTAATGAAGCAGTACTAAGGAGCGTCAACAAAGACAGAGAACTGCTAAAGACTGTTAAACATCGAAAAATGTCTTATCTGGGACATATAGTAAGGGGAAGTCGATATAAAATTTTACAACTGATCCTTAAAGGCAAAATAGAGGGGTAGAGGTGTAGGAAGAAAACAAGTTTCTTGGTTAAAAAACATTCGTGAATGGACTCAGATACCAAATGCAGGACAATTATTCCATATTGCAGAAGATTGAGAAGCCTTCGCAATGGTGATCGCCAACGTCGGATAGTTCTGATATGGCACGCGAAGAAGAATAAAAGAGTATAGCTAGCTTCTTCATTTGATTGGCAAGTTTTTGTTCGGCTTCCACAGCACTGGTTTACGGCCTAATGCAAGTGAACATAAATTATTATTTTTCCTTGTTTCTTATAAGGTAGCTTGGAATACTGAACCTCTCAGAAGCTTGTTTTTCTGATAACCTTTTTTGGATAGCTTGCAATTCCACTTGTAACTGCTCCTCAGTCCATCGAGCTGTCTGAGTTTTTCTAATACATGTGTGTGGCATCTTTAAAAGAACCGAAATGTTAATAAAGCGCACAACAAACAATCAATAAAAAACATATGGGGTAGTACCGGCCGGTCGTCATTACCCCATTATGCAACCCACGTTTCTTATAATAATAAACAAATATTTTTGGCGCTGAGCAGAGGCGAACACATGTTATTTTAAACGGAAGTATACTTACCATAAGTGTCTATCATAACTTAATATATTAAGAACATTTTAAAGATGATAAACTTACCTTCAAAAATATGTTGATATAGAATCACCAAAAAACGTTTTTAACTCACAAGTTTATGATGGATACCTACAACAATTTCACTGCAATGAGGGTAAGCAAATATGTTGTAGGCAACTAACATTCCATTTACATCGTGCCATGAAAGGCACGAATTTTAAAGCGGCTGGTATTACCCTGCTGGCGAGTATTTTTTATTTATTGTAAATCTTCTTTCCCACACATTATTAGTTTCAGGATTTCATGCGCAAAATGTCTTTGGAATCTAACAATGCTTGAGACATGTTAGGTTATACCTGATTCGTGAATTGTATAGGGTTAGTTAATGTGGATTATGTATTTAAGTAAGCTTAACATACAAATATTTTGATTAAGCATATTTTATTAAACATATTTACAACATATCATATTTGAAGAAGTTTACATAAGCAAATATAA